TATATTGATGTATGTACGTATGTATGTATGTATGTACGCATGTATGTATGTATGTATGTATGTATGTATGTATGTATGTATGTGTGTGTGTATATATGTATGTATGTATGTATGTATGTATGTGTGTACCTATGTATATGAATATACTATGTATAGATGTATGTGTGCACACAGAGCCGTAGATGTACAACATATGCATCTGTATTGATGCTTGTATACATATGGTACACCATGCAATATATCGAGGATGCCATTGTGTGTGCGTGCTCGTCCCCCCTGCTTCCAAGCCATGAAGTACTAAATAAGCCCCGAAGCCGAATGCCGTGCGAGATAGTGCATGCGAGCCTCCAAAAGCATCGTTCAAGCTCCTCTTCGCTGTCTCCATGAGGAACATGCGGGCACTGTTCGGCTCCTGGGGCTCCTCCGCTGCTGAGCCAAGGCTCTTCGTGGAGAGTGTCCTGGCCGTATATGGAAGCAACTAAAATTAAAGGAAGACCCCAGCAGCACCGTCCTTGTCACCCCGGGCTTCATCTCTCGCTTCACCATGGGCCCGGCGACTCTAGAAAAACCCCAAAACCCTCTGTCGCTGCCAGCAAAGAAAAGCTACAAACGATCATCAGCACAATTCAGTCTGTTTGCAGCGACTCATGATGACATGGAACATCCGACTCCGATGCACAACCGATGCTGCCAGCTTTTAGCCCCGCAACCAAGGAACGTGACTCAGCGGCTCTGTGCTGCTGCCGGGAACGGAACGGCTTTGCTGAAGGGCTTCGCTCTTAGGCTCGTAAGACACCCGATGCAAAGATTAATTATGCTATTAGTAATTCCAGCAGCAATAGCCCGAACCCGGTGCATCGAATTTCCTATGTGCCTCCCTAGCTGGCCCTAGTTTTTTGCGGATATAATGCAGGGTTGTGTTTGCTTTCGCTAACTTACTCTATGATAAAAAGCTAAGAACCGGAGAAAAGCAGCCAAGCTAAGCGGCCTGCCACCACAACACAATCCGAACTTGCAGCCGAGATATCCTGATGAACCAAGTTGCAACCGTGGATAACCAACCAAGTATCGATTGGAATAGCTGAATAGTCATGATGGCAAAGCCAATGATGCCCAAATAGCTCTTCGATTGCAAATCGCCAGACGTGGGGCACCTGAGATACCGAAGCTGAAGCGGGGTGGAAAAAGTGCTCGGATGTGCAGGGGCCACAGCTACTCAAATCCAAAAGCATTGGGCAGCAGCTACAGCAATCTGTCACGGCCAAGCCACAAACCTAAGTTGCATCCTTTGCCATCATCCAGATGACATCGAATCAAAACTCCTCAGAAATTTCTTGAGCTGGAGAGAAGCACCAATAGCATCCATTGGACCCCACAAAACACTCCCAGCGGTCAACCCAAATCACAGTGTGTGCGGAACATAACCCATGAGGCAAAGACGTGCAGTAAGCATGTTTGATGTGACACCACAACCATAAATTCATCTATCCTAAGACTATATCTTTCTTAGAACACCAACCAAGAATCGAATCGCAGCCCAGAGCAGTCGGGCTCAGAGCAATTCGAAATCCTGCACAAGTCAAGGAATCAGGCACTGTAGGACGGGCTGTCAGGGAATCCAGGAAACGATTATCAGCTAAAAGGCGCAAATTAAAGATAACCCGGATCTTGGGAAAACAACCAATGGCCATATTCAGAAGAATGCTAATCCGAACCCGGAACATCGGTCCCCATCAGTGGTCAACACCACAGGAGGAGCAGCCACCTCAAATTGCCAGAGTTTCTGCGACATTAAGATTGCATGCGAGCACACACACCAAATACAAAGCCTCAATTCCCGGAAACCGCAGAGATCTCTGATCAGAATGAAATCAGCCGTGGTGCTGCCGCGATCGGTGCTGTAATGACAAGATCTGAGGCCTTCGACAGATGAGGTCTTTCAATTCATGAATGTGCGAGCCATCCCTGACCGAAAGGAACCTGGCCTGGAACTCGACGTCGAACATTCTCGTCTTCGGGAACATAGCACCATAATTTCGTCGAGTGTTGACTACCAGCACCTCGTCCAAATCCTGTCCGGAAGCACCCAGGAGCAGTCACAACATCGCTGGCCAGCCATTTACATTCCATGCACATGAACCGGCCTGAGCCATCAGGTTGTGGGCCAGCCGGTCCAAAAGTCGCCCCAGGTTCCTGGGAGAAAAGTCCTCCCAATCGCGGCGGTACCGGAGCATCACCACATCCACCAACTCAGTGGTGCATTTAACAGAATGAGATTGGATCAGACTCCCCCGTCAATTGATGATTTAGTCGAGTGGCGGCGTAGATAAAGGTGCCGGGGAAGCCATTCTCGACCTTGCGATCCCCGAGGCGGAAGCCGCCCAATCGCCTGGTGCTCAAGCTTCGGAACCTCAGAAAACACCGGGAATCGTGGCAACTGTGAGTCGCATGTGCAGGACCTTCCATGCAATTATTAAAGAAAGCAGCATCGGTAGCATCTGGGCCGACATGTACCGCATGCAGCTGATGACGAAGCGATCATGGCCAACAAGCACCATCGGGTTCCTCGGATTCCGAACAACATCAACCAATAACAAACCCAAGCATTCATCCAACAGCAGTAAGCCAAGAGGCTGGGCACGGCTACCGAAGGCGGCCATCGTCACAATCTCCTTCGTCAACTCAAGGGGCTCCCAGACCTCCTGTGCAAGAAAGAAATGATTAGAAGCTGCTTCAAAATATAGTCGATGCCTCTCCTCAGTCCGAGGGTGCTTGCGGAAGCTATCCCACAGGTCGTAGGGCAGCACATAAATGCATCGAACCGATACCATCTTGCAGAAGACCAGCATATTGATGAGGAAGCCCTTAGCTTCAACATGAAATTCAGCTCTCTCTCCACTCGATGCACACAACAACATATTGGAGGCAAGTTTCCATCATTTTGCCAAGCTCCTCCTTGGCACGGCCGGAACGGAGCGGCCTTGGCGCAAACTGCAGAAATCGCTCTTCGATCTATGTGGCCCAGAGCAACAGTATATTGCAGCGAGGCACATTGCAAAGAAAAGCCCACCGGAATAAACTCGCGAAATCATTGTCATACCTCAGGAAGACCGAACAATCTATTCTGATCCTAATGCACAGAAGGACAGACCTGTAATCGAGCGGCACAGGATCTGACCTCGTGAATGCTCAATGTCCTCGCTTTGCTCCAAATCGCCATCGAGCATCGCTGTCAGTAGGCCCTCCTGAGAGGACGAATCTTAAAAGACGATCAGAGTAGCCGCACATACATGCATAACTTCTCAAACAAATAGCAACTGAGCACAAGACCTCCCTGAAAGCCCTTTCCATACCGACATTGTACTCCAAGTAGTGCAAGCTTCGGTGCGGGCTATTGTCGGCGAAGTACGACTCGTCGAGGCACCATGGACAGAACTCCCGAACCAACTCCATGGCTCTGTTCGCCATTACACTTACTCTGATCTGAAAGATCTGAAGTGCTGAACCTTCCGAACCTGTGCATGCACCAACACTCTCATGGCCATCTGTCCTCCTGAGCCAGCACGGTGTTTTGTTAAAGGCACGGTCTCTTAGCCAGCATGCGATCCGAGATCCCTGATTTAGGGTTTGAAACCTGTTCTCTATCGTTCTTGCGCGCAGGAGTGGGCACCGGCTTTGGTTTCCCTGTGGGCGAGGCGCCGTTTCTGTGGTCTGCCGAACCGTGATATAGGTCGGAAGAGCTAGTGTAAAAACCATACTGTAAATAAATAGTGAGGCCCAACACATTCTCGACTTTGCCAGTGAAGTGTCATAGGAATCTATAAGGCTTACTTTATCGGAACCCTAAACCCTAAACCCTAAACCCTAAACCCTAAACCCTAAACCAATATCAAGAACTCCATCCCCAGCCCATGAACCCTGGGCTCTACTTGGAGGGTCGTGCACTTAGTCTAAGAGGGTTTAGGG